TGCAGGTAATATAAATGTTCACTCTCTCTGCACACACACATACATATATATATATATATATATATATATATATATATATATATATATATATATATATATATAAAAAAGATGTTGATAATTTTACTGACTCTCACTCTTATTGATGCTAATTTTCCTCCATTCATATTTACTGCAAAGAAAACCTGAAAATATAAATTTTTATATTCAAGTAAACTTCTTACCTCCACAGCAATTCTTCAACTGCTTTTTGGCTGTTTGAAGAATCAGAAGATTTTTTTTTTTTTTTTTTTTTCAAATGTTGGAGAAATATTTTTCGAACTGAACTACGAAATGGCAATTTATTTATAAATCAATTGCTAGAAAATTATGGTTGCAGATAACTCCAAATTTGGTGTGGGCAGACTTTTTACATGGATGACTGTATATATACATATATATATATATATATATATATATATATATATATTATACACTGTTACATTAGAACATGTAAATAAAAATTCACTACAAAATTATACATTTTGTTTCAATGTTAAAATCAAATGTTTCTTCAGGTGGGTAACAATGATGTTACTAAACTATTTTATTCAAAATTGTGATTAATGAAACACTACTTCACTTTCCATTTTTGGAAAATTTTCCATAAAAGGTAAAAAGGATTTATATTAAGAAAAAGGAAAGATAAGAAATCAGTAAAAAGAGGAAAGAAAAAGAAAAGAAAGTCAAGAGAAAGCATAAGAAATTAACCCTACTAGCAAGTGAAAAGACTAAAAAGAAAGGCAAGAGAAATAGATAAGTATATTCAAAATTACCCAGATTCTTAAGAAGAGGAAAATCAAGAAGATAAGAAATAGAATGATGTTGAAACAAATTAAACCAATGAAATATATATATATATATATATATATATATATATATATATATATATATACATGTTCTGTGGTTGTTTCTCCTTTGAATAGATTACTATTTTGTCCAATATGTAACCAAAAAAGATACATGATATTTGTTGAGTTCTTTTGGGTCACTGAATAGTATCAAGTGGGTCACATACAGCATGGAGTTTGCTCACCCCATTGCTCAATAGAATAAAGATTTGGCTTCTCATATTAAAAGGCCTCTGCTTTAAATCTACTAATTCCAAATCAGCATTGTCCTAGCACATCAAAGGTTTGTGCTTTGCATATTCACAGGATTCTTCTATATCCTGTGTCTCTTCAGGATGTGAGTGATCATAGCTCTCCACAATTTCCTGTCATTTGTGGCTCTTAGTAAAGTTTGTTTTTTTGGTATCTCTCCTAATCTCAGTTCTGTGAAACATTTGCACAAGCTCATTAGGTAGGTTATGTGTGGTTTTCCTCTTTCCTTCATTATGCCCTGTGAGTGTCAAATTTTCTAAGCCCTCTTTCCTCATTATGTACCCTAGAAAATTCAACTTTCTCTTTCTGATACTAAGTATAAATGACCATTTTCTTTCTGTTTTCTCTGAAATTTTGTCGTTGCTTATGTTCCATTCATAGTATTCTCAGCATCTTTCTGTAGAACTTTGTCTTTTAATACTCTTCATCTATCAGGAAATTTTCACTTATAAAGATCTCTAAATTCATTGAGATTTGAGATTTTTCGTTTTGAGTAACTGCCAATTTTATGTCCGAATTGCCACCCAAAATTGCTATCATAATTGTTGAAGCTTAAATAAGCATGGAATAATACAACACAAAATGTACGTTAACAAAATGTATTGAAACAAAGAATAGGTACACAATATTTACAGTTAGTTTGGTATATTCTTGGGAAGACTGTTCCTGCATAATGGGTTGACTAAATTGCAGTCGGGCAGAGTCTCTGGATTCAATTTCTTAATCTCTACTATCTTCCCCGTCTTCCGGTACCAACCCATATTTATATGGTCGGTAGTCCGCTTATGTAAATTAGGTGTATCATACACAACAATAATAATAATAAAAACATTTTAAAAACAGGTTTTCTGAACGCTAAACAAAACCATAAATGATAAAACTGAATAACTACCTTCTTATATTGGAGGGAGAACTCCACAATTTCATCACAAAAAAAGACTTGAAACAATCCAAATGTTGTTTTGAGCATTCAACAAATGAGGAAGTTTTCAGGAGAACAGTCAGAAAGAGGCTGTGAAATGAGAAAGAGGCTGTTGAAATAAAGAATTATCAGAGCCTTTGATGAAACATGATCACTCACATCCTCTAGGATTTAATTTCTCTGTCAAAACAATAAATACTAATATCACTTTAAATTTATCCAAGGGAGGTAAATCTATGATTTCTTTTTTCTTTTTTTTCCTAATCATTTCACTGCAAGGCAATAAAGCTGTTAAGATGCAAGTTTTGACTGAGTGTGAAATAATATGAAAAAATAAAACATTAAGAAATGAAATGGAGTGATGGTGGTGATAATGTTGGAGGCCTTGGGCTGGATAACGAGCTCACCATTGGCTGCATTCTGCATGTAAAGAGTTGGGTGAGAATAGTGAAGTTTGGGCAAGGCCATGGATGTGACAAGAGAAGCAATCATGGCAGTGATGGCAACAGCATGCCTGTATATCAACAGGGAGCCTTTTTGGCTTGCTACTTTGTTAGTTGTTATGAAGGTCTTTCTTTTAAGCAAATTTTAATTATATTTTATTGCAGGGATTTGTTTTATGGATCGAATATAATGCTTGGAGCCCCTGCACAGAAAAGAATTTTTTTAATATATTCTATTTTGCTTTCTTAGCGTTCACACCCAGAGAATTTGTAGAGTAAATCAGAAAGAGATCTAATTGCAGTAGAGCATAACACATTCAATTCCAAAAAAAAAAAAAAAAAACTAGTAATGTTCCATCATCACCAAATAGACCCCAAATTTTTTCCAGTCATGATGAATGGTTGTGCTCTCAATGAGGCTCCTTGATTGTAATGTCTGTTTGAACTTAAGTAGAACTTTTTTATATAATTCATTACTACAGATGCTGGAAAAATGGTCAGATCCTTGTGTCACTCCAGAAAGTATCTAATTACTCCTTCTATACTCTGATTGCTCTTAATATAGTGGACTGCAGGCAATGCTCTGTTGTGTTTTTAAAATAGCTGTTAATGTGTAAATTCTGCAGTAAATTATTTAAAAATATCAACCAATTACTTAAAATTAAAAAAAATAAATAAAAAATGCAATAACAACATTCTGTATCTGCATTTGGTATCTACCGCTAATAATATGTACAATACAGGTACACTGTAATCAGTAAGAAATAAACATTTTTTTCAACAAAAATTTGAATTGTACCATTTATTCCATATATATATATATATATATATATATATATATATATATATATTGAAAGTTTTATTTATTTGTTATGAAAATTAAATGATAGCCTTGTAGTTGTAAGTGGACCACCTTTTTATCTCCTGGCAACCAATATTTTTAGACCCAGTGTGAGACTGAGCAAACTATCATTAATATAAGATTTTATTAGGCATAAAGTTGGAGATCAGTTTTTGTTATTATTAAGTAATAAACTGATCTCTGTCAGAATTACAACATATTAATATATTAATTGAAAAAACAAATATATTTATGACTCACATGGGCAAACCTAATAATAGTATGGCCTTGAAAAATATCTATTTTTTGACAGCATTGGTAAATTGGAATATTGTAATAATAATAATAATATCAAGAATACTAAATGCTCTTACATGTAGCATTGCTTCAATTGATACTTTCTTGTCCAATAAGATAAAAACATATCTAAGTTGTACTCAGTCTAGCAGAAAGCTACAATAGTGACACCTAGTGAGAATATGACACACTAACAATGGTTTGTGAGACTAGTGTTACATTCTGATTCATGCTACACGAATTTCCATCATTGGCTGGATGTGAAGGCTTCGAACACCCAAAGCTGAATTAAAATTCCATCAACTGTGCAGAGCTCTGCACATATCTTCCGTTTTTACTCACACACTCAAAGAAACAAATAAGCAATACAATCTAGAATTTTCACCCACCTAAAGAAACAAAATAAAAACTGGAGCTGATTTGAGCCTAAAAAGAGACATAAAAGCTCATCAAAGGGACATTTTGGCAGTTGGATGGCATCTTGACTTGGGATCACAGACTTCATCAGAAAACAACCTCCCCAGCTGGCCAAAGTCAGTTCCCCAATAAGTCACAATTTATCCTCCCTCTCCTTCCACAGATTGTCTTTTACAACTCCCACTCTTTTTTTCAACAAGAGACATTGACACAGATTTATCATTTGTTACATTTTACATTAATACAATTGTTTATTTCTTTAAATTTTCATTGTTTTTTCCTTGTTCTGCTACCATAGACATCAAAATATTAGCTTGTTAACCAATGCACACCTGAGATATTAAAAGAAGTATTTTGTTTGTAATGAAAATTTTCATTCCTTTTTTTATTTTCAATATTTTGAATTTGCTTAATACAAGAGGAAGAGATTTGTCAGTGATAAAGTATTGATACTTCCTGCTAGAAAACTCATATAGATGATGTTGTTTCAGAAAATTCAGAGTTTGGGGGGTTAGGTTAGTAAATTTTAGGACACATCAACCCTTGTTGGGTTATTTAATGTTGAAATTTATTTTTTTTATTATGCCTGAGTTGATTGGTAATCAATGGTTCACTTTGTGCCCAAACTTGCAAACATCTACACAGAAAGTAACCCCTTTTATGAATTGGGGGCCTTACCATTCTGCACAAAATTACAGTCTGCATATTCTAGATCCTGTTAACATTGATGTTTTCAATTCTATTTTTATTTCTTGAGTGAAATGATAGTAACTGTTTTTATTTCTTGAGTGAAATGATAGTAACTGTATCAATTCATTTTTTTGTTTTTAGCAACAACAATTTAGGCCAAAACTAAAAATGAATAATCCATGAAATTTTTTTGTTAATATTGTAAGATTTTAAAATGTTTTTCTAATTAAATTTCAATTTTTATATTCTAGTGTTCCGTCAGGGGGATGAAGGCAAGTCTTGGTATATCATCCTAAAAGGTTCTGTCAATGTGTCCATATATGGAAAAGTAAGTGTTTTTATTCCATTTTTTTTATTATTTTATTTTCACCAAAATTGTCTTTTTTTTTTTTTTTTTTTTTTTTTCAAAGTGAAATCTCTTATTAAAAAATTGTGAAGATTAAAAGGATTCATGGAAATTATTCCATCTACATTAAAGAATATTCTTGCATATAAAAAAAAATTACATGTTGCTGCATGATGTTGATGACACAAAATAACAACTTTTAAAACAATGCGCTGCTTAAAATATGTTTGAATTTTCTTTCTCTCTCTTTTCTTACTCACACCCCTGATAATGACTTATGTTTTTTTTTTTTTGTTTTTAGTAAGGTTCACCCTGTGTACAAGTCCCAGAGGCCACTTGAGGTAAAAGGTTACAATAAGGAGTAGTTTATATGGATAGAAGGGAAACGTAATGATTGACTCGACTTGAACAGGTTAAGATTGTAGTGATCAGGGAAAGCATCCTCTGGGGGAGTCTGTTCGATAGAGCAGTGGTTCGCAGGAAGAAGCTGTTTGAGTGGAACTTACTTCTCACTGATGGAATACAGAGGGAATATGGGTGGTTTGCTATTATGTAAGTGATATGGTGGGTTCTAGCCATGAAAGTTAGATGTGGTGGAATCAAGAAATGTCATTTGTCTGAGCACTTTCCATGGTAGTAACAATAGAGTAGTGAGAGAGGGAAGTCGGAGGGTGGAAAATAATTTGTCACCGACAAAGACTTGGAGACACTGGAAAGTGAGATCTGGGCAGCTCCTATCCAAATATGACAACAGTATTCCATTTTCGGCCTGATCTGACTCTTGTAGAAGTAAAGGATAGCATGAGGAGTCAGGTACTTACTGGAGTGGTACAGGGAGCTGATCATTTTTACCTTCATCTTGAGTAATGGATCGTATATAGGAATTCCACTTGAGTTGAAAACTTGAACCCACTATTAATTTTGGCTATTTTATACATTAACAACAGCTACATTTGCAAAATATTATTTGCATACTAAAAAGACAAAAGATTTAATTTAATAGACATAAAATGTCTATTCTTTTTAATAAGACAGACACAGATTGAGAGAAAGAAAGAAAAAAATCTATTCACCCCAAAATCTGTTGAATATTTCGTGTGAAAATATCTATAAAACTCTTAGTACATATTTAAATGAGATAAGTGAATTATTTTATTATTAATACATTCTGTACATATTTAAGGTGCTTGTTTGTTGAGCAAAATTTGATTTTACTTGAAACAGATTTTTACTTTCTTTTATGCCATTTTTTTGTTTTGAGGCACTGTTCATTGTAAAACAAAAAAACTTAAAAGACCATTCTCTCTTCTTCAGGGAATTGTCTGCAAGTTACAAGAAGGAGATGACTTTGGCAAACTCGCACTCGTCAATGATGCTCCCAGGTAAACCTGACACCAATTTTGATGTATTTTGATTCTTTTGCTTTCTCTAGATAAAACTCATAAACGATTATTGCAAAATCTCCGTGCTTACAATGACCCGACCACTTACATTTTTTCATATTTTTCATATATTAATGCCATCATCAAAGATTTAAACATTTTACAATAACATACGTTAATATAACAATATTACATGATATTAGCTAATGCATCTATATTTCTGAGATTGTAACTATTTACACTATTCAAACTTCTGTCCTCATCTTTAGTGTCATATTCACAATGTTTCAACCGTTGTATGCTCTGGCCTTCTTCAGGTGATATACATTGGAATTTCAAACTAAACTCTTTAATTATTCCATGTATCCATGGGGATAAAAGAATTAGTTGAAGTAATCCAGTGACATGACCCAAAGAGCTGTGAGTTCAATCCCTGGTCACAGCAGAGATGAACAAAAACTTGTTGAGTTGAGTTACTAAAAGGGAAATAACTGAAACTGAGATATCCAGAAAAGGCATGGCATGTGGAACTAGAACAATCTAATCCTGTGAACAAAATAAAGGGTTCAGTTTGAAATTCCAACTACTAAATCTGGGCTTCCAGTCACTTTTGAGGCCATATCAAGTCTGTCCTCAATGCTGAGGGCTGATGTATTTATTAAATAATATTTTCCCTTTTTTTCTAAATTAAACAAATTCTTTTGAAAATATACAGATTTTATTTCTCTTGATTATCTTTGTTTTTCTTTATAATTTATTCCAAATTACCTGCAGTGTCCTATATCTATAGAGAATCCATCCCTTTCTCCACTCCAGCTATGAATAAATAGCAGGACAAACTGGAGTTCTGTAGCCTTGGGTAGAAACCAGTCTAGGAGAAGGACAAGTCTGAATTCAAAACCTGTGCTGAGATGTTTGGAGAACTTGTAGCATGCTGAGCACAATTTCTCTATATTGAGCTCTTCCAAAAAATGTGGTTAGTTCTGTACAAGCCTTTATCACTAAAATCAAATCATATGTGTGAGTAGTCTAGCTGTTTGGTCCTAAGAACTAAACTATTTGCTGGACATTCATACATTGAAAAACAATGGGAGAGTCCTCTCTTTCTTCCTCTCTCTCTCTCTTTCTATATATGTATATATATATATATGTATATATTAATATATATATATATGTATATATTAATATATATATATGTGTGTGTATATATATATATATATATAATAATCATAATAATCAGAGAGAGATATTTACTAAGATTAATGGGTGGATCTACCCTCCAACAAAGTGGGTGTCCACTTTGACAAAACCAATCATTCAGTCACTCTCTCACAGGTGTGATGTGGCTTCCCTATGTCTTTTCTACAAATATTTTCATGGCAACTGCTCTGACAAACTTTTATCCCTGGTGCTCTAACTACATGAATTTACGTGTGCTACTAGATTGGCATCTAGGTCCCATCCTTTTACTGTTGAAATAGTTAAATGTTACTGCTACTTCTACTCCAGCTGTTTCTTTCTTTATACTTTCCAATATTGGAACTCCCTTCCTATCACTTGCTTCCCTGATAACTACAATCTTCAAAAATTGAAATGCAACATCAATCGCCATCTCCTGTTGCCTTGATCCCCATTCATCTTTGAATCCTCCTCACCATACCCAGTTTTTTCTCTAACTTTCACTCCCTGTAACCCTCTGTATGCTAGTGGCACTCCCGCCTTGCTTGGGGTGAAATATGCTAAAAAAAAAAGAAAAGGTCTGACATTTTGTCTGCTGGCTGCTGTTGACATTGTGGTGATTAGATGCCAAACCGTTTTGTTTTGGTTCATTTATTATTTAATCCTGATAATTGAATTCACCATAGAGAAGTCTGTGAAAACAGACAATTCCATCTGAACATAAAAGCTCTTTGAGTTTGGATTTGCAGCCCACACAACAAGATTTAAGGTTGAACCATTCGTAAAAATGATAGTTGTTTCTTCTGTGCATCTATAAATAAGATATTAATGTCTATACTATGTTTGCTGGTTGGGTTTAACTGATTCAACAACATTGTGGAATGCAGTAGACACCTGAAGAAGGTTGGAAGCTATTTGACATTGACATTGCAAAAAAAGCTAAAAATAAAAACAAGAAAATTTTTTTCTGAGCCAACCACAAAAATATAATTTAGATATTTCATTCATAACAAAATTCTAACAAGAACTGTCATTAAATATGAATGTGATTGTCAAACATCTTTTTAAAAAAACTGATATTTTAATATCCATTTTTTAATATCATTCTCAATACAAATTTTAGACATAACCTCAAAAGAAAATTGAACTTTAAACTTTATTTTAGTGATAATCATGGAATAAATTCTGCAATCATTTTTTTAGTCTGTTTTGACTTTGCTTCTCTGCATTTCCTGCATATATTGATTGGACTAAAATCCTGTAATTGAAATCAAAGAAACTGAAGATCCTATAAGTTGTTTGTTTGCCTAATGGACCCCTCCTGTTTGTCTAATTTTCTTTCTTAATAATGCCAATGTCTTTTTGCTTAAATCATTACTGTTTTGATTTACTCTTCCTATTATTAAAGACTTACAGCCATATCACATTGAAACACCAGTTCTCATATGTTCAATGAAGTTAAGCAACATCAGTCAGTACCTAGATGAGTAACTACTTGGGAATACCAGGTGATGTAAGTACCTGGTATTCCAGATGCACGGATGTGTGGGTGGTGGAATGGATAATGTCTCAGAATTGGAAATCAGAGAGCCAAATTCTAATTTGTTATATTCACTTATGGGCAAATATCCTTAGGAAAGGTATGATTCTACCTCTTCTTTCCCCCAGTTATGGATTAAATAGTAGGACTTGTATCAGTAAGTCAATATTATGTCTGCACAAAATTCTTACTGTCTAAAAATATTTTCTGTCTTTAAATAACCTACAAAAGATTGATAAACCATAAAAAAACAATCCTATCATTTAAGTCAAGACCTTCTAATCCAGCAAGTTTCTATCTTATTTATCAGAATTTGTCTATATATTTTTATATATATATATATATATATATATATATATAATTATTTATTTAAAAATATGATTCCAAATCGCTACATAAGAGTCTCATGTTTCAAAACAAGAGCCGAAAACTTCAATATAATCCTTTAAATTAAATTGAGTTGAAAGTAAAATGGGTTCCGTTCCATCTTCAAGCGAAATTTTTGTTGGAATAACGTATATCTGAAATTTACTTGTTTTAAAATTGAAATCAAAATCCCCATGGTAACAGCTATGGTGAATTGTCTAAATTGGGTAGGCGAGTGTAGGGTGTTTATAATAAGTAGCGGTATAGAGATACTTTCAAGGTGTCAAGTCGGGGAAAGGTGGGGGTGTATAAAAAATGAAACGGAAGATGTATTGGCCATCGTCTAGTTTGCTTGTCTATGGAGATTTATTTATTTATTTTATTTTATTTTATTATGAAAGGGAATTGTGCATATAAAAAAAAAAAAACTTTCGTAACGTTTTTTTTTTTGACGACTTATAAAGGGTTATCTTTTATGTAAGGTATTTAAACTACTTATTTAGGCTATGGATTATGAAGTGTGTTATGTTGTATGCATGTTTGTAGTTAATTATTCCTACTATGAATCTGATGATTGGGCTATTTGTTAAACAAGTTATATAAATTTTTTTATCTAATAATTCAAACCAAAAATCTGATGATGCCTACAAAAAACCGTTAACTCGTGTCTATTATTTAATAGATTATTATTATTTAGAAGTTTAATAATGTGCAATTTTTCATGGAGGCACAAAGGGCATGGGTCATCCCAAGCTTTACATATTCTAGCCTTGTTATCAATAATTTTATATATATAATATATATATATATATATATATATATACACACACACACACACTTTATTATAGGATATTACATTCAAACATGCAGGAACAACACTATATAAATGCACACCTGTTTCGATGTGTATCAACACATCAGATGTTAGTAAATGACTCATTATTACAATTATTAGGATTTACCTACATGCAACCTTTTTCCCATGAGAAAAAGAAGAAAGAAAAGAAAAAGAGCAAGAAAGAAAAACACAAGATATAATTTCTTTTCTGAAAAGAAAAGGAAGAAAAAGAAAAGGAAAAATATAAAGAAAGTATAGAAATGTAAATATTAATATTTGATTAATTCTCATTTCATATATATATATATATATATATATCAAATATGTGGTGCAGTTCAATTTCTATTACAATGAATCATTCATAGAAAAAGTTAATTAGTAAAGTTAATGATATAAAATGGCGAAATCCCTTCGCTAACAAAATTTTAAAGATGCATTAACCTACCAATCACTCAATGAATGCTATGATCAGTGTTTTTAAAATTATAAGCTGTATAAGGTCTTTCTTAAATATGCAAGTACTTTCAACTATACATTCAGTCATCTTCAGGCATGGAAATTGTTTTGTTTTTGGTAAAATTCTGGTAGCATCAGAGACAAAAAAATATAATGCGAATCGAAATATGTTTTTTTTAATTGTGTTGTTGATACAAACTTTTGGAGTGTACAGTTGCAATGCTAAAGTTGAATTTTTTTTTTTTAAAATTTAAGAGTGTGTTTTACTAATATGGCAATTTTATATCATTAACTTTACTAATTTACTTTTTTTATGAATGATTCATTGTAATATATATATATTACTTTCTCTAATTTGTCTCCTTTTGAAGTGTTGACATATTTAGAACACCCACAAAAAGACTTTCCTCAATAAGCAACTGCTGTCTTCTTTTTGTGCCATGTCTTGCTGAAAAACTGCTTGTACCAGGAATGGTTCATTCAATTACTGATATAGATTAATATCTCTGTAACCAGGAAAATATTTACCATTCATTATTTTGTAAGATTTACATTATAAGTAAGATAATATGATTAGGCATTTCTCACATAGGAATCACTTTGTATGTCTTTTAATAATCTCTTCTTTTTATCAACGTCTAAAAGTTTTAGGAAAAAAAAAAAAAAAGAATTAATCCTTTATCATTCAACCTGCCTGAACCCATCCTGTAAATAATCAGCTCTCAATGTTCAATTCGTCATCATCCACCCCACGTATACTCTGCCATAGCCTATGATGACATCATCACAAATGATGTGTGAGGACTTCTTTTTTCTTATCTGTTAATGTGTTTCTACAATTCATGATTTCTTTTGATTTTAGTAAAAATTATATTCATTTTAGCAATTCTTTGTAATCTTTTTTGTATGAACATGTCCCAATTTAAACCAGAATTCTGACAAAATACACCAATAACTCTGAATATAAAATACTTGAAAGTTTTTTTTTTTTTTTAGCGATCATAATTTTACTTGTATCCTTTTGTAATTTTGATTTTAAAAAAATATAAAAAATGTTACCTTTATTAAAAGATGAAGCAATTTACTCAGATGAAAATGTACAGAAAGTCGTTTAATCTGTAGATCACCGAGAGTAAATTTACGTTCAGGCTGTTACAGTTCACCTTTCTTGGCAAATCTATTATCGCAATATGAGATTTTTAATGATATTATCCCAATATGAGATATTTAATAATATTATCACAATATGGGATATTTAATAATGAAAGTGATAAAAACAAAGTAAAAGAAACTAAATAAAATTGGCTAGACTATATACACAAAACATTTAAAAAAAAAATTTTTAAATTTAAAATTTCAGCATCCCCTCTCCTTCATGCATGTGCATAATATCATATCAATGTAAACATGACATTAGTCTGAAGTCCTAAAGGGTGAAACATGTCACACAATGAAACTTTTCCACTTTGTCATATATTTTCCTAAAATTGTTCTTGATATACAGGGGGGGTGCAAAAGTAGGTATACATTAATGAAAAAACAAAATGTGTCCACAAAACGTATTAAATGAATCCTAGAAGCCCTATTATAATATTGGTAATACCAGTATAATACTTACTGTATACATACTTTTGCAGCTACATTTTTGTATAAAAATGTATATATTGTTTTCTCACTCTTTTTCTATATCATTTTAAATTTTCAGAATATAAATTTTCTTAAAATATATACTTAATAGTTTTGCCTTTTTTATAGTATATTTGCTTCATAAACATCAGTATCATAATTTAAAAAATATATATATATAAAAATATACTTATCATTTTATAAAGTAAAATTAATAAGTTATTCAACAGGAGACTGATTGAAATAGAGACATTTCAAATTTGGATGAAAAATTCTGTGAAAAATGCTCAGATTTGAATTATAATTACAAATTCTACTTGATTCAACAATATTTTAGAATCTGAAACGGAGAAGAAAAATATTAAAAATATCAATGTGTAATGCTAAGGAGGCATCCTATTTCAGTTATGGGTTTGTTTTGTTTTTTCTTCTAAGTATCATGACTACTGCTATGAAAAAAAAAAATAAGATTCGCATAGATTTTTAATTAAAATTTAATGAACAATTGTGAGATTTAAAAAAAAATAACTATTTAATTTTTTGTTTTTAAATAAAATTAACAAAAAAAGTTGATATTTCGGAAATCTTATTTTTCCTTTTTTTGTTTCTTTTTTAGGTCAGCAACTATATGCTTGTGTGAGGACAACTGTCACTTTCTGCGGGTAGATAAAGATGACTTCAATAGAATATAAAAATAATAAGTTCAGTAACAGGGTTACTCCCCTTGTAACCTTATATTAATTTGGTTACCTTCCTTAACCTTATTCCTCTTCTATTGACAGTATTTACCCAATTTCATTAATTTCTTAAAAAATAAATAATAAATGAAAGAAATCTATCAGTTTTAGACGAAAGGCCAGACCAAAGAAATATAGGGTGGACCTCAATCATGAAGGTCCAACCACAGAAATATAGGAACATTTAGCAAATTTTTATTTTATTTTACCTGAAAAATCTAAATATCCCTTAAAAATTTTCCAAAATAAATCATAATTCCGTGCAAATGTACATGCTTAAAATTAACAACTAAATTATGAAGACTCGGTTACCATTTTGGAGTTATCGTTTTTTAAAAAAATCGGACTTTATTATAAGTCATTCGTCCCCATTACTGCCATAGTAAAAGTAATACTTAAATGAAAGGTACTTCCAGTGGCCTTTTGGCCTATTTTAATTTTTTACAGACTTATTTTGCAGAAAATCACAACACATTACGTAAAAAAAATAATTTCTTTTTTTTTTTTGTAAATTCAGTTTTTTTATTTATAACAAAAAAATTTAAATAATTAAATAGAAACCTAAAAATCCATTTGAATAGCAATGACAAATTAAAAGAACAAATTAAATAATAAAAATAAAGCATTTTTTATTTTAAAATTGAAAAAAAAAAAATAATAATGCACAAACTTGGTAAATTATTTATTTTTCTTTTTTAAAAATATTTTCTACACAAAAAAAACCCTTGAGAAAAAAATCTTAATTTTAACTCTAAAAAAAGTTGAAAAAAAAGCATTTTATTAAGGTTTATTGTTTTATTTAATTTTTTGTTTTAATTTGTCTTAAATTTACTATACAAAATTTTTTAGGGTTATGTTAAGGTTAAATGGGGTTTTTTTTCTGTGTATGTAAAAGGGGACAAATTAAAAAAAAAAAATTAAATAATAAAATAAACTTTTTAACTTTAGATTTAGGTGTTATTATATAAATTTTTCTTTTGATGTAGAAAAGGGGACAAATTAAAAAAAAAATTAAATAATACTATTTTCTACTTTACCAAGTTCGTTTTTAATTTTTATTTTATTTTCAATTTTAAAATAAAAAATATTTTTATTTTCATTATTTAATTTGTTAAAATTTAATTTGTCATTGCTTTATTCTTATCACAGAAAAAAAAGGTTTTATTGCATTATTTAATTTGTTTTTTTTTTTATAATATTTCCTGTTATAAATAAGACTGAACTTATCAAAAAGAAAAAAAAAAACAATGATCGTAGTGATGAAAAAAACAGATATATAAATGTAAAAGAGTTTTCTCTCTATGTTTTTCTACAAATAAATTCATGGTAATTGCTCAGATGAGCTGCTTTCAATGGTTCCCAGACTCCATGAATTCAAAGCCCCTACGAGGCTGGCATCCGCTTTCATTTTCATTACACTGTAGAAACTTTTAAATTTATATATCTCTTTTACTCCATATAGCTTCATACCTCAGACCTCTCAAAATAGTTAAAACACCCTTCCCAATTACTGTTTCCCTGAGAGCTATATATTCCAACTATTCAAATGTAATGTCAATCGACATCTCCAGTTACCTTGATCTATCCACTATCTCTTTCTCATCCTTTCTTCTTATTTCCTATCTGAAAACTTCCAAATCTTCTGCAACCCCCTGCATCCTAGTGGCTTCAAAGTAAAATTTTCTTGGCAGAAAAAAAAACACACACATATATTTATATTTTATATATATATATATATTTATATATATATATATATATATATATATATATATATATATATATATATATTGTGAAAAATATATAGAAAATAGGAAAAAAGAACTGGTTAGGTAGATCCAAAGTTCCTTAGTATTTTAGTTATTATTTTTAAAAAATAGTGCTCAAAAAAATGTATATATATAAATATAATTATTTATTTAAAAATATGATTCCAACTTGCAACATAAGAGGTCTCATGTTTAAAAACAAGAGCCGAAAACTTCAATATAATTATTTGAATTAAATTGAGTTACAGAAAGCTCTGTTCCATCTTCAAGCGAAATTTTTTTTTTTTAATGAATAACTTAATAGAAATTTATATATTTTAATAATTGAAATCAAAATTTCCATGGTAACAAATTAGGGCGAATTGTTTAAATTGGGTAATCTTAAACAATATATTGTTAATAATAAGTATGTTTATATATTCAGCCTTTTCATAGATGTCAAGTCAGGATAATTGGGGGTGTCTAAATTTGAAACGGAAGATGTTTTTTTATAGTTGGCTCTTGTTTTTAAAAACATGAGACCTCTTATGTTGCGAGTTGGAATCATATTTTTAAATAAATAATTATATATATATATATATATATATATATATATGTATAGACACATATACATATATATATTGATAATATATATATATATATATATATATATATATATATATATATATATAGATAATATTAGTGGAAAATATACATACATATGAAAATATAAATAAAAATTTTCCCATACATGTATATTTTCAGAAAAAATTTTTCCAAGAGGAAGGATCCAGGTAGAACTCAATGTCTAGGACAGAGTAAGGATATAATAAAAAGGCTTAAACACTAATATTCCATGGTCATAATTTATTCCATTGGAATCGTAAAAATACGATCCAAATCATCAGACCTACAAATAAAAAAAAATGAAAACAAAAAAACAACTCCGGAAATCAAAAACAGAATTTAGAGAATATGTATATATGAGGAATATATGACATGAAACCTTAACAAAGAATTTTTTTGGAGATAGAAAATATGGGGTGGATTTAAAAGGAGAGAAAGAAAGTCGTTCTAATGGAAAAAATTTTTTTTTGTTTTCATTTTGAATTTATAGGTCTGATGATTTGGATAAAATAATAATTCCAATGGAATAAATTATGACCATGGAATATTAGTGTTTAACCTTTTTATATAAATATATATATATATATATATATATATATATATATATATATATATATATATATATATATAAATATATACATATAAATAAATAAATATATATATATATATATATATATATATATTAAAATATATATATAATATAAATATATATATATATATATATATATATATATATATATATATATTAATAATAAATATAATCAAATGGATAAATATAGTTAAATATATGAGCAAGCATTTATATATACACCCCTGGTCAAAATCTTACGACCAAATACAAAAGTGTTAAGAAAATATAAAATACTGTTACTTTAATCAAAATATATTTGGAAAATATTTACATTTAATTAGAAAATGTAGTTTATCAACAAACAAGTGAAAATTTTAAGCTTTTAATTGATTAATTTAAGCAAACATTGAAAAAAGGATTTTTTGCGTTGGTTATAAAGATAAGACAATGTGTGAAAAAAAACAAATTATTTGAAACTATGGATGCTCTTCATGCTGCAGTTTATGTATCCTGGGCGAGCATCTCAAGCACCCTCATGCAGAAGTTAACGAATCTGCCAAATTGAATTTTTGAATAATTCACAAATATGGAGGATATACTGAGAATGAAATTGTCATTGTGACTTAATTTTTTATATTTTTTATTTACATTGTCTTATCTTTATGTCTGACCAACCAAAAAAATCCATTTTCCAATATTTGTTTAAATTAATCAATTAAAAGCTTAAAATTTTCGGTAAATTTCTATTTTAACATCCATGCTAAATATCACTTAAAATTTTCCAAAATAGTCATAAAATATGCAAATGTATATATTTAAACTCAAAATTTAATTAAATTAAAAAGGAACCTACAAATTTTAAAATTATAAATTTAAAAAAAATATCTGACTTCTTGTTGGTCATTCGTCCCCATTATTGCCATAGTGTTTAGCTAATAGAAAAAAGTTTTCAATGACATAATCAGAAATTGTTTTTTTAATATTTTTTTTTTTTTTTTTTTTTAAGCATTATATTTGAGCAAGGCGTGAAGCCACTAGGATGCAGGGGGGTTGCAGAAGATTTGGAGCGAAAGCAGATAGGTTGATTTAAAAAAAGGATGAGGAGAGGGATAGTGGATAGATCAAGGTTTTGGAGATGTCGATTGACATTACATTTGAATAGTTGGAGATTATAGCTCTCAAAAGAAACAGTAATAGGGAAGGGTGTTCCACAGGCGAAAAGGTCTGAGGTATGAAGCTATTGGAGTAGAAAAGACGGTTACATTTAAAAAAGTTTCTACAGTGTTTATTTTTCTTTATTGATTAAAAAAAAAAGGGCGCTTTGAATTCATGGAGTCTGGGAACCATTGAAATCAGCTCATCTGAGCAATTACCATGAAAGAATTTTTAGAAAAGACAGAGAGAGACTTCTTTTTATAGCTATATATGTTTTTGAAATTTGAAAACTTGGAATCAATTTTTTTTTTTTTTTATAAATTATATCTTATTTATAACAGGAAACTTTAAAAAAAAAACAAATTAAATAATGCAAAAAAACCATTTTTTTAAATTAGAATAGCAATGACAAATTAAAAGAACAAATTAAATAATGAAAATAAATTTTTTTTTTATTTTAAAATTGAAAATAAAACAAAAATTAAATTAAGCTCTAATACCTTCGTAATCACCATTAGACTCATTCAACTCTTTCCTAATCCTCTGCACTGTCCTCAGATTGACACCAATTCACTGGTATGAATACCAAGCAATACAACATGTTGTTTCCATATTTCTGGTGGAGTGAATTGCATCATGGTCTTCTTTTTCTCACCGACAGTGACCAACTAATCCTACTATACTGTGCAGTCAGCAAAATATTTTTAAATTGCATAAAATGTCAATAAATTTAATCTATCACACAAATCTCTGTTATAATATTATATATATATATATATATATATATATATATATATATATATATATATATATATATATATATATATAGAGAGAGAAGATATTTTAGATACAAATTATAAAGTTTTTCATTTAGCTCATTGGTTTTACCTTAAATATTTTAAATCATTTCACCCCATGTAAGACAATAATAATTATAAGATGTAAAAGGGTTACTTAAATTGAATGAGAATGAAAAGATTTTAGAGTTGAATTGGAAATCTAAAATAAATAAACAGGGGATAAGGATATGAATATTGCTCCTTGTGAAAATAAGACAAAAAATTTTATGTGAACTGAGTGATAAGTGAACCTATCTGCTGCTATTGAAAAAAAATATGAGAAAAAATAAGAGAATAAAGAATGAAAATTTTGGAGTTTAGACAGGGGCATTAGAAGTGTAAAGCTAAACTAAGCATGTATGGTTCAAGGGCATTCAAGTAGGGAGAGTTAATTATGTAACAGTCCTTCCTTAATGAATTTTAACTACTTATTTTTATTTTTAATATATATATAGTTATGTTGTCTTATAAATAAAAAAGCATTTTTTTCAATATATGTAAGTTATATATATATTTTAAGAATGGAATTATCTATCAGCTTCCTTTTCTTAAGAGATTCCACTCAAAACTGAAAGTGTCAAGTTGGACAGATTTTTATCCACCCACATGAATGACGGCAAGCATAAAATTAAAAATAATAGCAATAACGGATTAAGTTAAAGAGGAAAAAAAAATTATTATTATTAAAGAAAAACCAAAACTTTTGATGAAACCAACAAACAAATTGCCAAGATATAAAACAATTATCCAGATAAAGTCTGGAACAAAAATGATAATAATGAAAAAAGATAAGGAAAAAAGGCCTAAAGGCAAACGTCTCTACTCAGTAAAGTGCTCAGAGCCTAGATAGAGCAAAAAAATGATAATTCCTATATGAAAGTGTTTTCTTATAAAAATTTCAAAAGATACATTCAAAAAAATACTTCTCTTCAGATGATATGTATGCAAATGAAAAGAGAGAGTGGCATAATATTATATAATATATATATATATATATATATATATAAATATATCATAATATTGATTGTTTTATTGTTTGAATAAGCATGGAATAATAATAATACAACACAAAATGTACGTTAACAAAATGTATTGAAACAATGAAAAAATTATACACAATATTTACAGTTAGTTTTGGTATATTCTTGGGAAGACTGTTCCTGCAGAATGGGTTGACTTTAAGAGTAGGGCAGAGTCTCTGGATTGATTTCTTAATCTTCCGTTGTCTTCCGGTACCAACCAAATATTTATATGGTCGGTAATGTTATGTAAATTAGGTGTTTTTATTTTATATATATATATATATATATATATATATATATATCTGTATGTGTGTCTGTGTGCTATTTAAATGTGATGGACAAGGAATATTTTGTAGCTTTTTTATTCAATTCTGTTGTATTTTTCAATTAAAGAAATTTACAAAATATTCCTTGTCAGTCATATTTAAAAAACATGCATAAAAGAATGATTGCTACTCAAATATATAGAAGCAGCCAAAATCTAATATTATGTTTTGAACTGACAATCAGTTGCTATCCAACTATATTATAGGTCGCAAATGTTCATAAATATGATAGAACTGTCTTAATTGTTGGACTGTGTTATGCCTTAAATCGTATATATATATATATATATCGCATATATATATATTTATATATATATGCGATATATATAAAGATTACTAAATATAAAATGGATTACTCTTTCAATGTACTTTCTATGAGTTTGTTCAATCGACTGTTTCATAGAAAATACCCAAAACTCCAACGAACTTCAAATTAAATTCTTCGTAGATTGTTTAGACATTTAGATTTATATCAAACCGTAACCTCCCAAATATACCCTTTAAAGTAATGTGAATTAACAGCGTCTTAGAATTTGAATGAAACCTGCCCTCGTAGAGAATGTAATTTATTATTTTGTTGTAGCAGAAATTTTTTGTCGGTCTTCTTCCTCACCCCTTACCCATCTATATACAAACAAGACAATAACTTAAGTTTAAGTGACGGCTAGCCTGACACACAGTGGGGTTAAGAATAAGGAATTGAAATGGTACATCTAACCCACTCATATCTTCTCTCCCACCTCACTTCCTCACTTCGTTAATTTTACATATGCTTCATGCGGTCTGTCAAAAATGTGTGAATTTCTTTCCATTTTTCATTATCAACCTTTGGAAGTAAAGTCTGATGATCCAGAGCCCTGTTAAAGGGGTTGTGGTGAAATAACTTATTACATGGAACCTTAAAGTGGTCTGTTTTTTATTCAAATATATATATATATATATATATATATATATATATATATATATATATTGCTTTTTTGTATTTTCTCATGAATGGACAACAAATTGTTGAGAGATGAAAGCATTATTGGATTAGTCAATGTGAACAGATTCTTGAAATTGTTGTCTATTACAAAATGTATCAAATATACTACATTGACATATATATATATATATATATATATATATATATACACTACAATTCAAAAGTTTTAGGCAACCTCTGGCAATTTTTTTAAATTGGCCCCAAAAGTAGTTGTTTTGTACTTTAAATAAAAAAATAAATTATTATGCATAGTTAAAAAAAAAAAGTAAGACATGATTTTTATTAGAAATTTTATTATGACAAAAAGAAAAAAAAATTTTATGATTAAATTTTGCTCTCATCAAAATATCCTCCTTTAGGCTTGATGACTGCAGCACAAATTTTTGGAATTCATTGCAAAAGTTTCTCAAAGTATAAGTTTGATAAATGATACCATTCTTTTTTCAATGATTCTAAAAACTCTTTTCATTTTTTTATTTTTTTTTGCTCTTCAATCAAGTTCATCCCATGCTAACTCTGGGCAGGGTGGCTTCAAACTGAGAACAGTAGCGTTTGTGTGTGAGTGTATATATATATATATATATATATATATATATATACACACACACACACATATACATAATATCAATTGATAATTAGTAGGGATAATTCCAAGGAGGACATTAATCCAAAAAGAGCTCAATGTAAATTACAGAGCATTATAATAATGATTTCAGATGATCCTTAAAAATCTATTCAATTATAATTTATTTCATGAATATACAAAAATATATTCATTTCTTCAGACTGACATTGGTCTGAAGAGATGAATATGTTTTTGTATATTCATGAAATAAATTCTAACTGAATGGATTTTTCTTGATCATTGTAAATCATGATATATATATATATATATATATATATATATTTATATCGATCCTTTTAGAGGCAACTGGATGTCTAGCCACACTGAAGAGCTGTGAAACAGCGAAAAGTCTGTCTGTGGATGACTTTATATATATATATATATATATATATATATATATATGAGATAATATATATTTTTATATATCAGGAACAATATGAGAGAAAAATCATTTACATGTTTAATCACACCAACATAACAAATTTAGTCCACTGAAGTCGTAAAGGATGAAATGCATTACAGGAAAAATTTTTCCACCAATATATATATATATATATATATATATATACACACACACACACACACACACATAAGTTATTTGCATGATGAACATATTGATTTATTTTGGGTTGTTATCAAAATCTAATTTATCCTGAAATCATTTAATTTCCTTAAATCCTGCTTAAAAATTAAATATGGTTTGGGTTGTATTTGTTCTACAGAATGTAGATGATTAATTAAGGGTGGGCAGAGTGAATTTAAAAACGAGGGTGGGCAGAGTGAATTTAAATACATAAGGAGATGCTGAAAAGTTCTAAACTTGCTTCACTTCTCCAAAGTTGATTCAATGATGAAATATCATAATTTTATGCAGTCATTTTGTTGGTCAGCTGAGAACTTCAGTTTGACGCCACTTATATGAGTAAATATAAAATGTCACATGTAAAGTTGTTTTGAATGATGTCTACCAGGATGTAGAAAGAAGAGAACTTTCCCCATTGATTTATTTTTGGATTTCCTTTGAATAAATAAATCGGATTTTTCTTAGAAGAAAATTTGTTTATTCAATTTTAATTTTAGGATGTCGAGGCCAACACTGTCCGCCTAAATGAGCATGGACAAGATGTCCTTGTTTTAGAAAAAATGCCGACCAATGTCCAAGCACAAGATGGATCCATCCAATCCCACTATAAGTAAGTGTGATCAATTCTTTAAACACTTTCCTTTCTTTAATTGTATATTTTATTCTTTAAGACCAAATGTGATTATAATTTAGTGACTGTTAGGGTTTAGTTCTCTAAGATGACATTTCATGCCACTAATATCACCAATCAGCAGTTTTTTTTTTTTTTTTTGGAGGTTTACAGCCACATCATGTTGAAATACCAGTTCCCATACAGTCACTATAGTGGTGTAATGGATATTCAGAGTCGTTCCAATTCCAATTAGGTTTGTTATATTTCACCTATACATAGGAAAGGAATGAATCCACCTCTTCTCTCCCCAGCTATGGGTTAATTAGTAAGACTTGTTTCACTAAATCATTATTATCTCCAAAAATTTTTTAACATTTTAAAAATATTTATGGCTTTAAATAACCTATGAAAGGTTGATAAGCCATAGAAAATGAATCAATCAATAAAAATGTTTTATCTATCTATATTCCTGAAATGAGGTATTGTAATTATTTACACTATTTTCATTCTTTGGACTGTTGTACTCATCTTTTTTGCCATATTCATGACATTTCGGGCATTGTACACTCAGCCTTCTTCAGGTGCAGCTGTGGTAAGAAGTATAAAGGACAAAACAGACAGCCCCCCCCTTAAGGTAAGGCTGTAAGGACATCGTAAAGTTGTAACATGAGTGGAAATAGAAAAATCAGGCATAGCTGACCCATTTTTGGAGTTTTTATTTGTGATAAATTTAAAAATATATTTGATTTTATATCATTAAATATCATTTTGATAAAGAGAAATTACAATGATTTTGTTTTAAATTGCCAACTACTAAGTTTATCAAAATCCTAAAATATTTGAATGTCTTCATTAATTTTTAAAACATTCATTCTTAGAATTTTTTTAATGATTCCATTCATGATTTTCTGCTGAAAAGTTTGGATTTTACTAAAATATCTAAAAAAAAAATTTTAACCAAAATAAATGTTTTGTCCCAAAATTTAGAGTTAAATTTTTTATTGTTTTTAATTCCCTCTCATAAAATATATTAAGATAAAGTAATAAAATAAATATTTTTTATGAATTACTCAAAATCCAATAAGACTTTAATCGAAAAATAGATTTCATCTTTGGGTCTTTTATTATAATAAATATTACTAATTTTTGTATTTTGTTCATAATATTGGTCAGAATAATTCTAAATTTTTAAGCTAATAAAATATTTTTTGCACATTTTTCTTATAAGATTCTAAAATTTCTGACTATTTTGAATGAAATAAATTTAAGTAAAATAAACATTTATTTTTTGTATAAGATTGAGATATTTTTGTTTTTTTTGTTTCTGATTTTGATCACTTTTTCTCTTATTCATTTGCAAATATTGGATATATGATGGCTAAACTTGTTTAAACCAAACTCTAAAGATTATCTTTTTAATTTAAAAGTATGATTATGAAATATTAATTTAAAAATTGATAATTGATAAGTAAGAATTTAGTTTTAGGAAAATTTGAAAATTGATTATGAAAAATTTATTTAAAATTGATCAATAATTTAAAATTTTGGATATGAAAAATTCATAAAAAATATAAAAACCTCATTAAAATTTGACAAATTATATATATATATATATATATATATGTGTGTGTGTATTTTAACACTCATAAATGATGACTTGACGATCCTATGATAACAATACACTTTCTATCAAATCATTCATTTATTAAATTGTGTTCAGTTTCAGACAAAACACAATTACAATATTAAAAAAAAAAAAAGAATTCCATAAAGAAGCAAATGCATCTACCAGTTTCACACTTTGGTGCACAATAAATTCCTGTTTTAGAGTTTATGATATACAAATATGGAAGAGTACATGACCACTTAGTCAGGGGTAAGTGGCTAGAAGAGCAAGTACTTGTTCTATTACCAACCCTTGGAAAGGAATTCTGACCACCTAAATCCAGTTTTACTTGCGAACACTTTTGTTAACATTTTCTATTACTTTTCCAGAGTATTGCTGCCATTGTCTTTCATATCCCACACATACTTAGAAAGTGTTGTACTGTTAGCATACTACTTTCTTGTGAAAGAAGTTTTGTTGTTGTAGAATCTTTGTCTCTCTCTTATATATAATATATATAATCTCCCCCTTCGCTTAGTAGTACAAAAACTATTTACTATAAACCCCAGAAACACACTCCAGGGCCATTAGAAGAAAAACCACATAGTAGGGACTGATATTAAACTACAAACAAAAATCCTGGCCATAAATAAACTCCAAACCCAGACCACTTCTCCTGGGATAAGATAACCTTACGCCCCCACCAATCGCTAACACAAACCCACTCTCATTAACAAGGTGTCAACTAGAGGAAGATTGACTTTGAAAATAAATTTAGAATGACATTTAGAGGCTGATGATAGCCATGTGAAGAACGATTTGAAATAAACTATACCGATGTGTTGAGGTAATTTTTGTTTTTTTGCTGTAAAATATATATATAAATAAAATGTGATGTGTCTGAAAAGTAATGGCACTGGTGTCACAATCAGTTTATTTCAATTCTAAACAACATGCTACATGATTTCTCCTTCAAAGTAATTCCCTTCATGTCTAATGCACTTTTCTATTCTTCTCTGTCATGCACTGCATGGATGCCTCTCATCTCTGTCATTATGACCCTTTTGATGGTCTCCATGCCTTCAAAACGGGTCCCTTTGATGATCTCCTTGAGCTTGTGGAAAAGAAAAAAATCACACAGAGCAAGATCTGGTGAATAGGGTGGTTATTCCAGTACGGTGATGTTTTTCTCAGCCAAGAACTTCCAGATGCTCAGGATGTTGCGATCAGGTGCATTGTCATGGTGAAGTAGCCATGATTTATCCTGCCACAACTCCTATCTCTTCTGACGCACTGAGCAAAGCAAATATTGCAGGATCTCTTTATAGACTTGCTGATTGATCATCTGGCACTATGGCAAGAACTCACTGTGGACAATGCCTTTCACATTAAAGAAGAAATGCAGTCTGTTACTTTTCAAATAGACATATGTATATATCAGTTAAAAAAACAAACTACAAATAAATATTCTTTCACTGGAGATTTTTCTGAAGGATAACCAAGCATAATAAGCTTATTTTTGTGAATGAACAACGTTAATAAAGTTTTGTGATGGTCAAGTTCATTGACAAAATGCATTTAAATTGTTAAAAAATGTATGTAATGTATAAATTTATAAATGTATAATATAAATAATGTATATAAATATGTCTATAATTTATTTCTTACCAGATACTCTGTGATGGCTGGAACACCAGAGAAAATTTTAGAGCATCTTCTAGAAACAAGAATGGAAAAAAATGAATCTGATGGTAAGTAATAAAGATGTATTATGCTATTTAATTTATTTTGCAATATAGACATTAATTTCTAGAGAATTCTTTACATTTGACTTGATTTATCGTAAGTTGCATCAATATTAATAAATGTAAAGAATGTAATTTCAAAGGACTTTGTTTCCTTAACAAACAAGAAAATTAAATTTAATATTTTCTCATCTCTTTTATATCATTGTCAGTGCAGATTGCAATTATTTCCAATATAGAACAGAGGTGGCTAAACTTGCATGATGTTAGAACCACATACAATAAACTTTAGATGTTTGAATACCAAAGAAACAAATATTCCTCAGTAACCCTTGCTGAACTGAAATTTCTTTAATACCACCCCATCCCCACAATTCCTTCTCCCAGCAATGAATAACAATACCTCCCTCAAATGTAACATTAAAATTAAGATGTAAATTCTATTATACTGGAACACACCTATTCTATTGTTAATAGACTCTCCCACCTATAATAAGTAGGAGTAGTAGTAATAGTCGCTCAGTGACTTGGTCAATCAGTCGATGTCGGACAACCGTTAGTTGGATATTAAAGTATCAGCCACCACAACTAGATTACTGCGTCATTAACTATTATATCAAGTTCCTAACGTTTTGTACGTTGAACCTATTTTAGGACCGACTTAGTGAAATACAAGCCTCCACTGTGAAACTACTCCATAACAAATTCTTAACTAATTTTTTCTAACCATGAACATTAAGCATGCATTTTAATTCAGTGAGGTCAAAGTTCATACCTGGTAAATAATTACAAATCTTGAATTTTTTCCATTTCTTTATTAACTGTGATAAATAAGCCTAATTAATTCCACAAATTTGTCCAACAAATATCCTATGCTCAACAAAAAAACAATTTTCATAAATATTTCTCTGATATATTTATAAAAAAAAAAAAGCCTTGTCTTAAATTCTGAGAAATTATTTTCATAATAAACACGTAATGTGTTTTGAGAATCTATTCAAAAAGTTTATATTCAGTGTGTATGTCTGTATGGAAAATTTCAGATATGACTAAAAAATATATCTGTAAAAAGACTATGAATAAAGACAAAGATAAGTTTTCCTTTTGTTTTTATAGATATAATTTGATATACAATTTTTCAGTCTTCTGCCAAAATTAGCTTCATCTAACAAAATGTTTGAATTCTAAAGCAAAATTTCCTCATGCTTTCTTCCTCCACAAATTGTTCTTATATTTGTTTCTTCTGTGATTTTCTTCATTAAAATTTCTCCTGTAATTCTTTATTAAGGAAACAAAGAAATATTTTAGGTTTCTTTATATTATTCCTTGTTTCAAATTCCAACCATTTTTGTCTAAATTTTATTACTCTCTTAATTATTTTTAAGTTGAAGGTCATCTGCCATTTCATTGCTTATCATTGTTGTCTGTCGTTAATGTGAATTTAAATTTTAATGTTGTTTTTTGCATGTGACATAGAAAAATGTGATGGGGAAAGAAAATTCAGAAAAAGTTCTATATTCTTATATCTTTGTGAATTTTCTTTTTCTTTGCAGACCATTTTTTGGAAAGTTTTCTGCTCACCCATGTGATATTTATGCCAACCAAAAAATTATGTCCTGCACTAATGATGCAATATCCTTTTCTGTTTATGCACTTTGAACTTTTGGAGGTTGATGATTTGGGGTTAAGTTGGATAAGGTGGGGAAATAGAGATTTTTTGCATTTAATAAACTATGCATTTATGTTAAATGAATTTACTTAAAAAAAAACAACGGAAAGAGAACCAAACAGTCATTTCACAATGCCTCATACTCCAGGGGCACAGAATTTGCTAGAATTTGAAAGGAAGGGAAATGTGTTCTTACTCAGTCTTATTTTAAAATTGCCATGAAAATGTTGAATTTGAATTCATTTTTTTTTTTTTCTGTGAAAAATGAAACTATTGTGCTGTACTCAGATTAGCCTAGTTGATCAGAAATATATTTTTGTACCATAAGACATGCTATTGAGAAAAACTGTCTTGCAAAGTGGCAGGGTATAATCCAGAATAGCCTAGGAATCACTGTGTAGTATCATCATCCACCTCTGATAGCAGAACAACCAGAAGAAACCCACTTTTTAAATTAATGAACTTTCACCAGAGAAATTAGGTTACTGGACAGACTCTTACACTTCTGACATATTACCATCTTTTCTGTTGAATTACACTCAATTTTTAAACAGCCAGTGAGTATGGGTCTGGAAAATGCATTTACATTTGCAGCACATTAACATGACAGACTTTTGCTTGTGGTGTTGAGAACTATTTCAAGTGCTGGTCATTCAAAGTGAATAGGGAATATCAATTCTGAAAGAAATACAGACTATCCTAAAAATTGACATCCACAGGAAACCTGTAAAAATATCATTCTAGAACTTTTGTTTTGTATTTGATTTATTTATTAGTTTTTAAGTCTCACGTCCAAAATGGCCTCTGTTTATTTCTACATATTTTTTAAAGTGTTCAATGCAAGACTTGTCACCTTTAGATAGTCATTTGTTACAAGTTTTGGTCATTGGTTTCAGAAATTTCCATATCTGAAGGAATTCATCAATTGAAAAATGGAATCTTTAGATGGAATACACAACTTAAAAGAAAGTTATAAAATCATAATAAAAGAAAATTCTTTGACAACTGATTAATGATACTATGAATTTATGTGATAAGATTTCAATAATAAAAAATAATTCCAAAAACCTTTGCCTCATTCTCATATGAGGGGGGTGCTGAAAGGGTTTTGACCCACTTCCCTTTTGTGGGAAATCCTCTTTTGTCAGGTTAGTAACTTTCCAGCACACCTTCTTATGTGAACACATGTGTGTAATGAATACACACACATATAAAAGAAAGATTGTATTTTGACACTGATAATCAACCAGAGTATTTCTAGGAGATAACAGTTTTAATGAAAGCAGATTTTATAATTATGGTGCTCAATGCAAAGAGATAGAGCATTAATAATAAATAAAATGAAATGTTCATTTAAAGACAAGGGAACATTTAATTTTATTATGGTGAACTCCCCTGTCGTCTTTTGTCCAGCAGCTCAGTTCTTATAACCAAACAGCCAAATGACCTGCACATGTGATTAGATTATAGTGGCTAAGGCTTGTGCGGAACTGACGAAACTTTTTGCTGAGTATGCCACAAAGTCCCCCAAAACGAGCCTTCTCATAGACTGGTTGCCACCAAAAGCTATAGAACCCTGTTATTTAATCCATCTCTAGTGGGAGAAGAGATGAATTCATACCTTTCCGAAGGGCATCTGCACATATTTGAACTTGGATCTCCAATTCCTCAGTCCAAGCCACCATTAATTTTTATTATATATATATATATAGAGAGAGAGAGATTGATTACCTCAATCCATATGCATCTCTGTAATGATAATATTAGCCATTTCCTTATAAGGAAACATTCAGCATTCATTGACAGACCAGCCAGTTAGTGGTTGAAATTATAAAATCTTTCTACAAAAGCAAATTTTTGGAAAAATCAATTTCTCAAATTCACTGTTGTTGCACTTTGCAATATTGGCGGGGGGTTTCCTTCCTAACCTTTTGTTTGAAGTAGTGTGAAACATCAACATTTTGATTATGCGATTATTTTCTCTTTGAGTTACATATGCTATCCAGTTTAATTCCTTAACTTGGGAACCTATGAAGCCATTTCTGGTGCAAAAGATGAAAGCCATGACATTATCTTGAGTCACAAGCGGCGTGTTATCCAATTCGTACAAGAATGGCAAAGCATTTCTGGTGAAGAATTCCTTGAAGATAATACGATCAGTGCCTTCCTGAAAGTAAGATTTTATTGAATTTTGAATTCATTTTTTGTACCAAAAATGATTTATAAGAAAAATGTATATGTATTATATGTTTGATATCTGCTGCTGGCTGATGTTTCGATGCTATGCCAAAACTGTGAGAGCTGGAGGGACCAGGTGGCTCTTGTGGGCTCAACACCTTCATGGCAGAAGATTTAGCAGCAGCAGTCATTGTGTGTGTGGCTTGTTGAAATTGTTGGTTTCTTGGGGTCACTAAATTTCCCCAAAAGAAAAAACAAGACACATTTGCTACCTACCACATCCTGAAAGGAAAGAGAAAGAAATAGGTTTGTGTCTTTCTTTTATAGTCCTAGATACAAATACACCTATCGGACATCCTGACAAAGTGGCGTAATCGTCACAAGATAAAAATCATTTCTGTTTAATTGAGGAATGTTTAAATTGGATTGTTAAAACAATTTGTGGAAGTTAAAAAAACTTCTGAAAGTGATTTTTGCTAAAAGAAATGCATAATATTTTGGAAATGTTTGCAAGATTTAATTTTTACCTTTCAGGAACTTCAACATACTTTGTCCAGTGATAGTTTGGCTTACCCAGAACTCAAAAATGATGTCTCAGTCATTGAACACATGATGCAAGCAAGATTAAGGTAACCAAATCTTCTCTTTTAATATGATTGTCTCATTCTTCTGTCTTAATCCCATTTGATTAAAATTTACAATATATTCTTGGCGTCTCCATTAAGTCCTCTTAATGTCATTTATAAGTTTATTCTTTGTATTGGCTAAAATTCTTTTATTTCTCTTACTTTATTCAACTGATTCTGTAAAGTGATTGCACATGGTTAAATGGAATATAATAATGCCAATATTTAAAAATTTTAATTTCAATTGACATCTATAATTTAAATATATGATTGTATATATATATTAATGAGTAAAGTTAGATCAAGATCTGACAGAATGGTGAATATATAAGACACTTTGGACAACTTCTGCTTTGACATATTTTGCCAATATCACCAGAAAAAGAAATGTAAAATAAATTTTTTTTCTGATGATGCCAGTTCATCATTGAAACATGTCAAAGTAAAAGTTTTACAAATTGTCTTATATATTTACCATATGTATTAATATATATATGTATCATGTATATATCATTATGCTTACCTATGTATCATGTATATATCAATTACTTACCTACCATCATTACAGCAATCTGTGTAATACTTCCTACACTCCTTCAAAACACAGTGACTTTAGTGTAACAATTTACCTTATAATGTTTGTAAATTTTAGTGTGCATAACAATTTAAGTTTTTATAGAAGTGGTTTCTACAAGAACATTCTTAGATCATTAGTGTGTGTGTGTATATATATATATAAATGATACTACTGTTTATGGGTACATCTAGATGACTGGAGCCTGGCAGCTGATCTTTCCTCTGACCAAGATCTAACAGTTCAATGGGGGAAAGACTGACTTGGATCTTTCAATACCTCCAAAACATAATAAAACCAGTAACTTTTCCTAAATTTTCTCCAGTCCTTATGAGTGATTGTACTTTCAATGAGGCTTGTCTATTGGGACTAAAGCTGAATCCAGATCGTCCCTAAAAATAGTGAAATGATAGTTGGTTCCTTCTTTTGATCCAAAGAGTACCTAGCTCCTACTACCCTGCTCTTTCTTTATGGATCAAAGCAAAAACAAATGGAATCTTGGTGCCATATCTGGGCTAGTGATACTCAGTCCTCACTGTCCCGACTTGACAGTTATGCAGCCCCTATCACACAGACAAAACTTTGCTAGTCTCTTACAATTCTATCACTATTTCTGTAGAAAAATGTTCTGAAATGTTGCATTCCCTTCATATTACATTGGTAAGAAGGAGGTTCAAGTCAGATGGCTTCTTCCTGAGAAGTGCTACTTTGTGAAACAGACTCCCACGTGGATGCTTCCCCAATCACAATAATCTTAACCTCTTCATGTCTAATGTCAATTGTTTGTTATCCTATATATTCTCATAATCTACATTTCTTACCTCCTCCTTTTATATCCATAAAACAACCTTATTCATTAACTCTCTACCTAGAGTGGCTCTTGGGCCTTGTATTGGGTGAGTCTTTAGTAAGAAAAAGATTTTTCATCTGGTTGAAGTCATAGATGTACATACATAATATGTAAAAAGAATTTTGTTATTAACATCAAAATCTGTTGCTATGTAATGTCAGTCTGTCTATATGGCAGTGAATGCTGGACAATTTCCTCACAAATGGAGAAGAAACTTTTATCAAATAAAATCTGGTTCTACAAAAGGATGCTGAGAATACCATGGACTGAACATGTCAGTAACAAGGATGTTTCAAGGAAAGTAGAAACAAAAAAGGATGTTTATACTTAGAAAGTTAGGGCTGAAATTTCTAGGACACATGTCAAGAAAAGGAGGTTTGGAAAAAATGACATGCACAGGACATATCAAAAGCAAATGGGAGAGAAGGAAACAGTGTGTAACCTACCTAACAAACTTGTGTAAATGGATGACACAACAAGTGGGAGGTATGGTAAAAAGACAAACATTACTAAGAACTATAAAGAATTGGAAGTTGTGGAGAGCTATGATCACCCATGTCCTGATGTGACACAGTACATTTAGAACAACAAAGTGTAAAGCATCATAACTTGGCTCAACCCTGTCGTAATTACTTCTACAGAAAATGTTCAGATAAGTGCTTCATTCTCTAGTTCCCCTAGTTCAAACCTTTACTGCTAGGTTGAATCACCCTTAAGAAGAGGGGAAAGATTTCAAGAATTTTTATAGGGATTTTTAGGATCAGGAATTGTTGTAACTATTTACTATTTCAAACTGCATGCTTATTTTGTTGATTAAATAGGTTGAATATTTTAAAAGCCTAATTGGCTTCAAAATCATCTTGTAGAAAAACATTCTCATATTGATCAAAAGAAATAAATGAAAATATTTGATTATATTTACGGTATGTACACTCCTGGTCAAAATCTTAAGACCAGATACAAAAGAGTTAAAAAAATATAAAATACTGTTACTTTAATTGAAATATATTTGTGAAACATTTATATTTAATTAGAAAATGTAGTTTATCAACAAACAAGTGAACATTTTAAGCTTTTCATTGATTAATTTAAACAAACATTGAAAAAGTATTTTTTTTTTAACCCTTTTGTTTCTGGTTTTAAGATTTTGACCAGAAGTGCACTTGTGTATAAGCTAAATTCATCTGTAGTGTGATCCCAGAACTTTTTGCATAAATTTTAACCATTTAGAAAAATTTTACTTGTGTATAGTACAACTGGTCATCAAAAGTGCATGATTTTTAACCTCTTAAAAAAATTACCTGTGTATAGCAGAACCCCTAAAAACGTACACTATACTCTAGTATATATGGTAAGACAAATATTTTTCTATCATGTGTGTTTAATATTTGTGAATTTCCTTTTTATTTTTCCATTTGTTTAATTTTTCATTTATTGTAATTTTGTTGGATGATATTGTTTGAACACTTGATGCTTCATCATATTTTACAGCAACAACACAATGGAACCCCCTAAATATTCTATGAAGAAACGCCTGACCCCTAATGTAATCTTGGCTCGAAAAGGATCGAAAGAAAATGTCATTGATGAAAGCAAGTTCAAGAGAGGATCAATCAAGGCAGCTGATGAAAGTGGGTGTCACCCCTTTTTTTTTTTCTTTTTTTTGTCGTTCATACATTTTGTCTTTTGATTGGTGTGGCAAGTGGGGTTAAAGGTTATTTTTTCTTCAGAAGGTTCAGAAGGATTAATTGAAATTGTCAAAAATGCTAAATAATTTTTTCTTATTGTTTCATTGAAAAAACTGAATTTTTATTTGAAAAAGAATTTGCAAGTGTGTGCGTATATGCACACACAAACACACACACATTTATATATAAAAAAATGTGCATGTATGCATATGTGTGTGGGTATATGTGCATGTATGTGGGTATATACTGTGTATGTTTATGTGTGAGTGCATATATGTGTCTCTCTCTCTCTAAATATATATATATAAGACACTAAAATGTGTTTAAGGGAACTGATCTGATATTGTGATTCTGACTTTCATACTAAGCCAATCTATAGATGATAAACAAGTATCTTTATTGTCTGAAGATCTATTTTTAACTGAAAACAACTTTAGCATGAAATTTGGGGCCTTCTGCTGACCTTCTTGATGTTGTCATTACTGCTCTGTCTTCAGTTCTTTTCTGAAGACATTGAGCACTTTAGAGCTTTCTTGTTAGGTGCTTGTCTTTTTCATTCATTTTTCTTTAGCAGACTTGGTATTGGTAGGATTGACTTTTGCTACTTTCCCTATATGAACCACTTAATTTATTATATATATATATATATATAGTGTGTGTGTGAAATTAAGTGAAAAAAGCCAATATTCTATCAAACTTTAAAATTTCAAACTGTTCCTAATGCCTTCCTAAAACAAGACAAATTTATATTAAATAAAATAATGATTCCATTTTTTTGTAAGGATGACAGCTTATGCAAGTTGGAAACCTACCTAATCCTGAGCACAATAAAAAAAAAATATCTAACGTGAATTTAACTATCTCTGTGTTTTCATAGCTGATGGGTTATGTCATCAAGAATCCCATTAACTTTGGCACACGGAACTGTCTGTCTGTGTGATCAGTACATTTTTGTGATGTGAAATTTTTACTATACTTGTGAGTCTAATATATATATATGAGGGAGTCAGAGTTTGTAGTGGTTGTCAAGCTTTGGCATTGTCTTTAGATAAAAAGGCAAATTCCTGACTCTATAAATGTCAAAAGATGTGTCACATTTCCATTTCTAAATGTCATACTGTCAATTTTTCTCTCTAAGCACCAAACACTTTTTTTTGCTGCAAGTCAGGACCCTGAAGCATTAGTCTTCAGATAACAAGAATAGGAATATCTTTCTTTTCTGGGATATTTGTCATATTGTAGTCTATAGATACAATATTTTGCTTTAAGCATTTAAATAAAATAAACATGTCTGCTTTATAAGATTAGAAATAGAAAATTAGCCAACTACTTAACGTGCTGTAAGGTTGAAAGCTTTTTACATTTCAGAGCCAGATTCTCTCCCCTTGGTTTTGATTTTCACTTTGAGTGAAGAATTTGTTGTCACTTCTATGAAATGTTTCTTCTGATTTTTTTGTTACATTTTTAGAAGCAGTTTTAATTAATTTCATTCAAAAAGATTGATTTCTGTTCTATTTTGAGAACTGCCATATTTATTTATTTTTCTAAATTATTTAAATTGCTATAATTTTTTTTTTTTTCATTTGTACATTAAAGATCAACGATAAGTAATGTTTTTGGTATATTTGGCCTCTTTTATTTGAAGAGTAAAAATGCCACACAAACCCAGAAACGGATTTTAGCAGTTTATGAAGAAGTGAATCAATTGATCAAAAATGTCTTTCTTTTTGACTTCAGAAAATGATTTTTGTTTTCTTTAATCACTCCCCATTCCCCATCTTTCATTTTTTTTTTTCCCTATTGAAAGAAGAGGAACTTTAAATTGTCTGCGAAGGAAGAATTGAGATTCTGTTGGGCATAAAACATGATGCAAACTCACCCTTCCTTTTAGTGTATAATGTGGGATCTATTTTTGTTTATTGACAAGAAAGAATATTATATTGAGAAATAAATATTTGTGGTGTAAAATGTTTCCATCATTAGGCTACAGACTTATTGATATACTTACATACACTATAGTTCAAAAGTTTGAAGCCACCCCCCAGAATTAGCATGGGGTGAACTTGACAGATGAGTGAAAAAAAAAAAAAAAAAAAAATGAAGAAGAGCTCTTAGAGTCATTGAAAAAAAAAGAAATCGAATTAATTATCAAACTTATACTTTGAGAAATATTTTCAAAAGATTTGTGCTACAGTCATCAAGCCTAAAAGAGGATATTTTGATGAGAGCAAAATTTAATCATAAAATGCTTTCTTTCTTTTTGTCATGATAAAATTTCTAATAAAAAATCATGTCTTGTTTTTTTAACCATGTATAATAATTTTGTCTTATTTAAATTAAAAAAAAACAACTACTTTTTGTGCCAATTTAAAAAATTGCCAGGGGTGTCCTGCAACTTTTTAAATGTAGTGTATATATAATATGCACTTAAAAGTATGTCTTGCTCTTATTTTAATGAATTTATTGAGTACTAAATTGATTTTTTTTTATTCCTTAATAAGGGACCATTTATCTTGTAAAATTGATCCCTTGAAACATTATTGATGTTTTTAGAAAATCAATGATAAAGAAAGATCTTTGTTGAAAAGCTTGTGTCAGAGTTGATTTCATTTTCTAAAAGTGTGGGTCCTAATGGGAAACAATTTCTTATTTTATTTTACACATATCCCATCTTGTTTCAGTTCTGATCCTGTCTTTATAGTGATAGAATTGTCCAAAATAAAAAAAACAAAAACATTTCCAATTCTACAGAATCAATTGTGATAAAAATTGTATTTTTATATATTTTTAGGAATGATTTCTGGATAAAAAACAAACTTTTATCATTCCTAACAAAATATGCCAACATTGCACTGTAAGCAAATGTTACTTATACATTTGCAGAATTGTTCCTCATGTTTATCTCAATGGCATGACGTTGTATTGTTGATGAATCACTCACAGGTGTTGGAATGTCACCCTCAAATTTCAAAGGATGATGATTTTGGCTATAACAAAAAAAGTGAAAGTAATTTCTAGAATATTAACACTTTACGAAGATACCAAGATGGCCACATAAAATAATGTCTTGACAAAAGTGGCCAATTTAAAAACTACTGTTAGTGGACTGAGGGTGTCTCAGTTGATAGTATCCAGTGATTTTTGTGAAGTGGGGTCTCACACACATTCTCCTGCTATCAACTCTCCCTGCCTCATGTGTAAGAAAGACTAAAAAGCTAAACTAGACAATGATTGGAATTTATGGTCAATGAAAATTAGGTCTGAGTGTTTTTCAATGATGAAAGCAATTTTAATATGAGGGACTTTGATGACAGGTTGTATGTCTCATCGAGTAAAGATTAAAGTTTACATCCTAAATATGTGCAACTCCCTCCATCCCCCCCCCAAAAAAAACAGTTAAATTCAGAGATGATAGTGTATTGTGTGGTTCTTCTCTGGCATTGACTCTCCTTATTTATTTACATGGCAATGTTAAGAATATCATTGAATAGCAATGTTGTTTCATCTTTGAGACCATCTTCTTTCTGCAAACCTATCTTAATATCTGATAACAACCCCTATTTTACTGCAAAAATAGTAAAATAATCCTTTGAAGCTGAAAATGTTGAGGTTATGGCCTGATTATCCTAAAGCCCATCTCACAATTGAACTGAGAATTTTTGGAAGATGTTTTGATTAGGGCAAGGAAACTGTTAACAGAGACATATTCTAGGCAGAACTTATAGCAGGAATGCAACAAAGTCATGACTGAACATTACGGCCAATTTGTGAAGCCCTGTGTTTATAAATAGGCACAAGTAATCAAAAACTATGACTTGTATATATTGTCTTATTCAGTATTGAAGCATTAATGTTGTTAATAATAATAATAATAATAATAATAATAATAATAATGTGCATTTACAATTTTGTTCTGTAATAAACATTTTTTTTGATCAGTAATTTTCTGTGTCTTTTGTTCTTTTATATGCAAATTTACTTTCATGTTAGACAAGTTTCTAAGAAACTGCAATTTTTATCATGATAGAATTAGTAGAAGTGGAAATATTTTATTTTTTGTTCTGTAACGTTGGACACTATTGTATATTAAAAGAAAGTTGAATTGCATTTCATGTAATTTGCTTGTATATCCATTGTTTTATTTATATATTGAAAGCAGTAAAATTTGACCGTAAAAGAAAGAATATTGTCATTTAAGATGAAATTACAATAAAAATTTACAATTGCTGCTTCTAAAATGTTTATGGGAAAAAGATTAGAGAATAAAAAAAAGATGAGATAATAATAATAATAATAATATTGATTAACACATTGAATGCCAACCACAAAAAAAAGATCAAATTGTGTTTGGCAGTTTTTATTATGACATTGATAATGAGTTATCTCATTTTTGTGGTTTTGACATCAAGGCTACAACTCAGTTTTTTTTTTTGTTGTTTTTAATGCAAATAACTGATACCTGGCATGTAAAGCAGGGATGAAAAATTGTACAGGCAACTAAAAAACTTTTTATTGCAAAAATTTATTGAAAATATAATACATAAACAAAGTGTTTGAAAAAGTTTTATTAACCAAATTGGCTATTATAAATTTGTTGTTTGAAGTCGGATTTTGTAATTGACTTCTGGCAGACAATGTGCTGAAGATTACACTTGGATATTTAATTTATCAATTTCATCTTTTAATCATTATATAAAAGGAAAATAAAATATTTAATATAATTTCTTTCAGGCATTTTCCGTGTATATTGTGCTGACCATAGCTACTGTACCCTCCGTGTCCCTATGACAACTACAGTGTCTCAGATTATCAATCAAGCACAGGAAAAACTTGCTTTAGGTGAAGACTTGGTGCTGTGCGAAGTCAAATCTAATGGAGGTAAGAGGCAGCCATCTTCATCATCATTATTATTATCCTTTGTAAATTGTTTTGGTGTAATAATATCTTAAGGTTATTTTTAATATCCCCTCTCTGAAAAAGGTCAGTCTGTTTCTCAGATTCCCTTTTATGACTTTTTACTCTATATTTTTTTAATAATCCTTTGGGATGAAAACACGCACAGTGATTTTCCAAAAGGCCATACACAGGAAGAGTGTATGATCTGAAAGAGAAATTTCAGAATTCAAAATTCTATAAATTGTCTGCTTGAAATGAGAGGATTTTAAAATGTTGGCAGTTTCAACTGAAATATGAAAAAGTAATCTGTCTGTATTTCATCTAATTGCATGATTTTAATTTTTTTTTTTCTTCTTTGAAATGATGAGCAGCTGAGTTTATGGCACTGAACTTTGATATTTAGATATAAATGTATATTTTGAAATTGTTCTGGCAATTCCTGTAGTCAAACTGATGCCGTTCCTTTGAATGCTATTGGTGAGGCTTTCTGCCTGTGAAACACATGGCCTCCATATGCCTTGCCCAGGCTAATCCTGCAAAATATGTGGTCTTCCAAGACTGCAATGCCAACAATATATTGAAAAATAAAATAATTGACATTTATATAGTTTATTAATTCCACTATATTGAATGATGCACAAAATAAGAGGCCTGTTAATTTTATATAAGTAGTTCTAAGAATACAATTCAAAATTCTTTATCAAATTATTTTTGTTTTCTAAGAACAAAAAATGTTTTTTTAAATGTGCAGAAGAATGCATCAGTGAAGGATTTTATGTTTTTAAATAACTCGTTACATATTGAACGAAACATTTGGTTCATAATTTAAAGCCTTGACAAAACCTCAAAGAAAAACGTGAATCATTTTTAACCTGTTAACTAGGGAAAAATATAAGAAATATACTATAAATTGACACAATTCATTGTGTCAATTTATAGTATATTTCTTATATTTTTCCCTAGAGACAAAATAATTTTGCTTCTCTTTTGAAAACAATTGTTTTCTGAGTAGGAAAATTAATTTTTGTTTGGTGCTGGGACAAATCCAAAATCTCTTTGCTTGTGTATTTAGTTTTATTCATCTCTATTTCTGAAATACTTTTACTTTCTCTTTTAGAACGAATATTGTTCCGAGAAAATGATTTAGGAGTTGTAAACAGCCTTACCCTAAACGGTCGTCTTTTCTTGGCTCCGAGAGAACACCTTGATGCTGTGGTAAGTTTTTCTGCCTTCCAATCTAGTTTTATCTTTTACACTTGACTTTTTCCAAGTTTCAGAATTTTGTCTCATTGTGATATTGTTCCATTTTTTGTACTATTTCTTTGTTTTCTTCTTTTACATAAATGTATTCCTTTTAAAAAGATAGAAGTCACTTTGATGTCTAATGCTCTGGAAATGATGTGGATCAATAGCAAATCAAGTCGTCCATTAGATGAACAAATATAACCTACAAGCAGTTCTTTTGAATTATAGGGTGTATACTTTTGTGTATATCATAGAAAAACACTTCACATAAATACAAACACACATGCATGCATTTTGTTAAATTTAACCAAGAGCTGTCTTTTTAATTTCTGTATTTTTTCCATTCTTTGTATATTTGAATCAAAAATTGTAGATAAAATGTCCAAACTGTTCTTATATTCATTTTGAATGTTTGTGGTGTGATGATTGATACATGCATTACAAATATGCAAAATGCAATTATTAACATCAGACAAACATTACTAGACAAAATAGCAAAATATCATCCAACGCTCACTGCAAGGAAAAATTCTACATATTCATATTCTATCATACAAAACAGTGTTGATTTGCAATGTGTGTGGATTGACTGCAAAAGTTTTCCCACTTCCGTTTTATAGCAAAAAATCCACAAAATGCATGCTGGGATACTTTATTTTAATTACTAAAATAGGTCAATTTACAACTTGACTCGGTCCAGATCTGCCTTGTCTATACAGAAGATCATTGGGTTCACTTGTCTGACTTAGCTTTTCCTGCATAGACGTTAATTCGTGGTTCATAAACCTTTTTGTTTTGTTATATGTGAATTTACTTATATTGTTTACTCGCTTGCCTGATACCATTTAATTTTTGCCCCTCTTTCTTTCTATTACAAATATTATTAATTCTGTTCACTGGGCAGTTGTGTTATTTTGCATTTGGATCATGACTTTTATCCTAACAGACATACAGTAAATACAATGCCTTTCACCAGGATTGGTATTTGAAAGACTTTTGAACAGTAGAAATGTATCTCTTGTTTGCCGTTTATAATTACGTTTCTGGTTCCTTCTAAAGTTTTTTTTCCTTCTCTTTCACTCCCAGTAACCTCTTGCATCTTAGTCGCATTATCACCTTGCTTGGGGTGAATCAAAAAAAAGAAAAGATATATACATATATAAAATATGCATAGAAAGCAGTAATACATATAACTGATACTTCCTTTTCTGGTGCAGTCAAGCTCAGGAAAAGTGTTACACATGATCTCACTCAAAATACATGTATATTTGAATTCAATTTGAATTGAAGCATTAAAAAAAATGCCAGCATGTAGCCTATAATATCTTGTCTATCATACTAATAACACTAATACTAATAACTAATAACACTCAGTTCATGATAATGGCGGAGACAGTCAAAAGTATTCAAATAATTTATTCAAAAATTGAAAAAATTCAATAAAAAATTAAGCAACCTTTGTTATCTGAATTTAACAAAATTTATTTAGATGAATTCTTTTTGCTGACAAACACACGTGCTCAAATCCACTGTATGGTCTCTGAAAAATGTTCAGCAAGCATTAGCAAATGTAAAAAAAATTTTCTGAATCAAATTCTATAAACATACATCTGCTTCATGCACACTTATATGCTAAACACCATTTTGCCAAACTGCTGCTATATTATAAAGAGGTAAAAGCAATTATAGCTTATTAACAAAAAGATTCAATTACTCCTGCCATAGCAGAAACATGATAAAGTTACTTTTGGAATGACCATCAATTTAGCACCAAGTCTTACAATATAAATGCACGGTTCTACGGGAAACAACTTTTACAAAGAAGTAAAAAATCTTTTGCATTACCTCCCTTTGTCTTTTATGAAAAAATTTTAATAATAGCTTCGTAACAATTTCGCTTGAATTTGTGTGTGCGTGTGAAATTAAGATCACATATCAACTAAGTTTGATTCTTTATGTTTACATTTTCTGACCAATATCCCAATAAGTGGCCTAAACTTTCTATCCGAACTTAGGGGTTACTTGGTAAGAGTGGATCAAAACAGCCTTCCAAATAAGGATTCTGTCAACAATATTTTTATTTTATCCAATAAAAAATATGCATGATATATAGCATTAATATTTTTTATCCAATCATATCTTATTATAATTATTATTAGCAAAAATTTTGATTTTTTTTTCTTCAGCTATTAATTATTTATCAATAAATTAAATGAAATTAGTAATTCGTTTTCTTTCGAAGTTGATTAACATTCTTTTCTAAGTGTGTCTAATTTCCTCAAGTATTTTGTCTGCTTTTGATCAGTTTCTACTAAAAAGTCACCAAATGGAGGATCTGGAGAAAACAAAATAAGTGATAGTCAGCTAACTTCTTGTAATTTTCAAAAAAAAGGAAACATTATAATAAAGATTTGTCTGATTGACATAAGATTAAAAAGAATGAAAATTTTGTTGTTTTTTTCATTTGGTCAGATTATGGAAAGTGGTTCACATCAAAAATTTTTTAGCACCTCACCTCATAAAATTTTTATTTTTTTCATTAAAAGAAAACCTTAAGGTTTGCATCTTTATCATGGTAATGGTAAGTTCCATTAAGGAACTGGTTATACATTTTGAAAAAGTCCAACATTCAACAAATATTTCAGTTTCCAGTTGTAACCAGAGAGAATTTTAGAACTATATTTCATTCTCAAATTTTGCAGACTCCTCTTCCTGAACAAGACGAGATTTTGACTGGAACAGCCTCATCTCTTGAGCTTGTCGGCTCTCAGGAACTGGCATACCACATGACAGTTTATGACTGGGAACTTTTCACTGCTGTCCCCGAGGTTGGTGACATCATCCATTTTGTGAAATTATTTAATCATTATTAGAATTAATTTACAGTGTTAGTGGAGAGGGGGGGTAGTATATATGAAAATAATCTGCTGGCTTTTACAAGTACTTAAAGTATAGCAAATCGTCATCAGTGAATTTATTGAAAAAAGATTGGTTTTAAAAAAGCCTTAAGAATTATCTGTTAGTATGTGAACTATGAAATATACATTGTAAATTTAAGAGCCTATTAAAAAACCACACAAGCCAATAAAATGCACAAATTAGTAAATGTTGTGCAATACAAGGGATGTTCCAAAAGTAATGCCTGCTGCTTAATTCCATGGAAACTACAACAGATCACAGGAGCACAATAACACTGTTGGATTGAGCAAGTTTTCAGCTACAAAATACTATTTTCCCCACATAGCTATCACTAATGGCTATACAGTTTTGCAAGGGATGAACACTGTATGATTTTTCAGCTATGCAAGCGGTGCAAAATGTGGCTTGTAACACACATTGCTGTCTCCACTGGTGAAATGCATAACATACTGCTTAATTGTACATCACTGTATGATCTCTGTAAATGTTCAGCAAGCAAATTCTTTTCTGTATTCAATAATATACATGTACTTTCATGTCAGACACCATTTTGCTGCTATTTATAAGAAGGCAAAAACAATTAGCAAGAAAGTTCAATCACTCCTGCCATAGGACAAATATCTGATATTGTGAAATAACATAATAAAGCTACTTTTGGAATGGCCATTAAATATTGTAAAAATACTAATCAATAATGAAAATTTTATCTTTCTACCAATTGGTTTCTCTTCATTTAATTTTTATATTTTTAATCCTTTTAATGTTTTCTTTCTTGACAGTATGAACTAATTTATCAAGTCTTTGGCCGATATAAATTTGGAAAAACAACTGCAAACTTAGATTTGTTTTTACGTCGTTTCAACGAAGTTCAATACTGGGTGGTGACTGAGATTCTTTTGACACAAAACTTGAGTAAAAGAGTTCACCTTTTACGCAAATTCATTAAATTGGCCTCTTAGTAAGTATCTTTTTGCCTTTTTTTGATTTTCTTTTCTTATTGTATAGGGTGAACAACCGAAAGGTTATTTACTTTTATTTATATTCCATTAAATAGATCTGTGGATGTTTTCATCATATACATTACTATTCAGACAGGCAAACTCCTCTTAGTTGTTATAGAACATGATTCATCCCTGACAGTTGAGAGTTCAATCCCTGTGTTTTGTAGTACTGAAAAGTTATATACAGGTTGTTGCTGAGTTGTGACTTATGGCTGTTTGACTTTATGACCATGACCGCGAATTGGTATGTTTGGCCATGTCTGCTCCACGTCTGGCAGCATGAGTGTTTCCCAGCTGAGTGTGTGACAATTTCTACCCCAGCCGCCGGCAACAGTAGCATTCCCTTGCACATGCCATGCTTAGTGTCAGGGCAGACAGGGTACAACATGCTTCCCCCTCCCCCAGAGTCCATTGTGTCTTCAAAATTTTTCTTCAGAAACCTCCAAAATGTCTCCCAAAAGAAAATTGTCTGTGTCTATTCCTCAACCTGCCAAGAAAGAAAGAAAGGCTAACTGAGCTTAATACAAAAACGATGGTGATGAAAAATGTACAAAGTTGGAAAGAAAGTGAATGTGATTGCATGTGATCTGAAGTTATCATGCTCTACTGAGTTGACAATTATGAAGGCCAGAGAAAGAATTTGTAAATCTGTGAAAGGTTCTGCACTTATTCAATTGACTGTTATAGCAAAGCAACAGACCAGATTGAAGATTAGATCCAAACAAAGATTCCATTGAACCTTTATACTGTGAAGACAAAGGCTAGAAGTCTATTTGAGACTTTGAAGGAATGTGCCTGAGAAGACTACAGTCAAGTATTTCTAGCAAGTACTGGCTACTTCAAGAGATTCAAGAATAGATTCCAAATTCATAATACTCAAATCTCTGGAGAGCAGCAAGTGCAGATGACGAAGCAGCTCGTAAGATTGTTCACGATGTGTTTTGTCCATACTGTAAAATTTATGAGGAGAAAAAGAAACAAACAATTCAGACAAAGTGCA